TAATACGGGTCCTAATACATGTACACACATGATCAGTGCTTCAAAGGCTAACATGACTCTTCGGATTCTGCAGTCTCAACGCATTACACAAATGGAAACCGTGTTTGCTGCGTTGGGCTGCAGGGATCTGCTGGGCAACAATGGTTAGCATTGCCTTCCTGGTGTTGTCCATATTATATCCTTCTCTATTAAATTTAATGTCAAGAAAGAAAAGATGTCAGCTGAGAGTCCTTGACCATTTCTCCCCTAAGTATGTTGCTAGGTCTTTATTAAACGGGTAAAATCACTTTCTGAAATCATTTTGCAAGACTGTGAATGCTAAATGCTACTAATCATGCAGCATACTACACAGAAAAGAATTGAGTCATGGCCAATTTTACTTTTGCTAAAAGTAGTAAAAGAAAAAAAAAATCTGTGTATTCCCCAGATAACTTATGGCGCTTTTGCCAATTGACAGAAATTTCTTGTTATTAAGTGCTAATTAATTTGTTAGCTGGTTTACTTTATAGATTTTCTGGACGTTCTCTCTTCTCATACATATTTTATTACTTTGGCAAAGTAATTAAAGTTTCCCAAATAGCTTGTGCTTCACTGTGTATGCAGCTTATCTGTGAATTTCTGTGCACTTGTTGTGAGTCTTCCAGGGAATCTGTCTCTGAACACTGCAAGCTGTGCTGGTGAGAGGGGCTGTAACTGCAGAGCTGCTTCCTGCCTCAGCCCCCCATCCTGGGAAGCCTGAGCCAGAGAAGGGCTTCCTGTGGATGGGCCAGGGCAAGCCCCCTTCCCCATGCTGGCCAGGGCTCTGTTGGGTGGACGGCCCTGCAAGTGCCTTCGCGTAGAGTGGCTTCACCAGGTCTGGGTGTGCTGCTGACTCCCCTTGAAATTTGCTTTTGATTAATCTCATGCCCTTTTGTTTGAATTTGTCAATTGCATTTGAGAGATTTACAATTGATTCAATCATAAATATCATTGCTGGAGCAGGGTGCATAGGCGGAAAGACCACATTTTACTGGAAAAGATACATTCAGGATGGGATAACATGGCAACATGGCGAGGCCTGACGTGAGGAGGGACCCTTTTGTGCATTACTGTGCTCTGGACTTGAAAAACGAATGTGCAGGAAGCTCCCAGGTGCTCAGTGCCTGGTGAGGGCAGCAGCCTGGCACTGTGTGTGGCCACTAGACCCTGCACTTCTGCATGCTGAGACACCATCTCCCATAAAACTGCTGGCCATATTGTCCTTGTTCTGTTAGGGAAATGTGGCCTCCTTTGCCTGTAGGACTTCATCCAAACCTGTTAGCAAGTCCCTCAACATCATCATCTGCAAATTCCCATCTTCTTAGCCCCAGTCCCTACAGAACAATGCTGAGGCTCTTCTAGACTAAGGCCTCCTTGTTCTCACTTTGAAGTTTCGTTTGTGTCTTTGCTTTTCTTACCATCATTCAGCCCATTCAGAGTGTGGCTTCACGTTCTGCCCAGATATTTCTTTCTTTTTGAAGTTGACATTTCTGTGGCCATTATAAACGTGACATTACCCTTTACCACTCCAGGTTCCTGTTAAAAAGTTCAACTTTGTTGTAATAGTGGACAGAGTAGATTTTAAAAAGTGATATTTGGTTGCTGCTTTAAATTTGGATTTAGAATTAAAGCTCTACCTATGTTTTTCACATTTGGAAGCTTTATTGAATAACATGCACCTAGATGTTAAGTTGTGAGGGTATTCTACAAGTTCATTTTTTTTTTCTAGTATTGTGGATGGAACCAGAGGACATTTTACCACTGAGCTACATCCCAAAGCCCTATATATTTTTTATTTTGAGTCAGGGTCTCACCCAGTTGCTGAGGGCCTCACTGTGTTTCTCCGGCTGGCTTCCAACTTGCGTTCCTCCTGTCTCAGCCTCCTGAGTAGCTGTGCCTATCAGATGGTTAATTTCCATATGTGTCCTTCCTGGAAAGCTTATTTTCAGGAAGGACTTTTGTTCCTGGTGTAACTGCACTTTCTTCATGGAAGACTGTAGCCACCATGGTGGAAGGGAATCGCCAGCCAGGTCGCCACCCTGGCCAAGGCTAGTGCTTTTAGTGGATAAATGGCCATACCCGCTCTCACCTGTAAACAGATTAGCATGTATGCAGCGCACTACCTCTGACTTATTGTGGCATTTTGTTCTAGTTTTATTCTTGAAACATTAGGATTTGCTTTTGATTTTATGTTCCTTAGCTCAGAGTTAGATTTGCAAAATAAATATTTATCAACTTCTGGTATTAGCTTCTGTGTCCTTCATAGGAGATTCATCCTATGTTTTACAACTAGACTGCTAAAAAATACTGAATTATGAAAACTAAAATAATAGTGCTTTAATGACATTAAACCTATTTTAGAACTTTTTGAAAATTCATATAAAAGGGGGCATCATAGATGATAGGATCTAATAATTGAGATTGACCACATTACAAAAAATTATTTACAATAAATAATTATTATTAATACTGAATTATTTTTGTAGATATGTATTAATACTGAATTATTAATATGTATTATGTATTAATACTGAATTATTATGTATTAATACTGAATTATTTTTGTAGATATATTACTTTTTATTAATGTATGAAAACATGGAAGTAAAAGAATATTCCAAATTTGGAATTAAACTTTCGAAGTATGTAGCTGTTTTGAATCAATGACCAGTTGATTCATTCTTGTGAGTAATTATAAACTTTGTATTTTCCTGGGATTATTTTTATTTTCTCTCTTACCATCCTTTCATTAAGTTTTTGGAGGTCATGTTGCTGCTGAGTCATAAAAATGTGAATGGCACCTGTCTATATTCTAATACCAGTTGCAAGTTTCAAACATCTGGGCAGTGAGCAGTTATTTATTTTATTTAACACTGACCCTTCACAACATCAACAAATAAGCAAATGATAATTTCACTTGCAATTATGGTCATTTCTGCAGCAACATTTTTATTTGGACTTAATTTCCTTCTGACTTGTATTGGTAGCTTATTTCTCATAACTACAGAGTAAAACCCAACTTCATTTCTTTAAAATTCCAAATCTCCTAATCCAGAAAGAAATAATGAATTCCAATGTGAACAGATATTCTGTTGCCTCCACTTAGTTAAAATAAACAACATCCCAGACTTTTAAATAAACATGTAAGACATTATCTGTTTGACTATATATATTCTATATTTCATTTACAAAATTGCTGTGTAGGAATGCTAGCTGCTTCCACTAACCTTGGCAATTATTCAGGGAGTATCTAGAACACTTACAAAATAATCTTTAAAGCCTAAATCACCATTTGTCTGAGGATTCTAAGTGGTGGCCAACTTTTATCTCCTCCGTGGTGTGTGTACCTGCCTGTGTGTGCACATGTGTGCTTCATTGTAAGCCAGAACAAAACGTGCTTGGTGGCCAAGGCTAACACTGCTGGAGACTGGAAACAAGATGTGCTCATAAAATCATAAAGCGTGTTTCCTCTGTGGCTCAGGAAAGTGCAGTGAATCATAGAACACCAGTTCAGGCTGGCTTGGGGCCAAGGCCAGGCATTAGATGCAGTGGCAGAAAGGGCTGCCTCTCCTGGGCTCCCCTGGGAGTTCAGCCTCTTGCCTGCCATCAGCTCTATCAGGGTTGGTCTTTGACTCCACTAACACACCAGGAGTTCCAGGCTGGCTGGCAAGAGTTTGCCTCTACTGGACACCTTCAGGCGAGCTGTGATTCACTGTTATGGGATCAAAATGCGGGTGCAGTCCAGAGTTTCTCGATTCCACAGACTCCAGGCCAGGTGTTCACCAAGTCATCTGGGTAAGGGGAGTTAATGCCTCATTAAACATCGCCTGTTACATCCCTAGGCTTGTGTGGGAGCCCCACCTGGACAATTGGACCAGGATAGAAGGCTTGCTTCTTCAAAGCAAAATTGCTACTGATTGGCCGTTTGTTTTCCTAAATGCTTGGGACCATAGGAATTTCAGATTTTGAAATATTCGTAACATACAGTGAGATAGCTTGGGTATTATATACAAGATTTTGCATTTGTATTCAAGTTTTCACATGGGATCGAGTCATGTTTCATATTCACGGTGTCCACACAGCCTGAAGGTAGTTGTAAACAGTACTCTAAGTGCTCCTGCATTTTGACAGCCACCACCACGTGAGGTCTGGGGTGGAACTCCTACCTGTGGCATGGTATCAAGATTTCACACTGGGGGACATTTCAGATTCCATAGGATTAGAGTGCTCAGCCTGTGATAACTTAATAAGCACAGTTGACATTGAGAGGGCAAGAGTAACCAAGACACCCACAGAGTGAAGCATTGGAACTAATTTTTTTTTTTTGGCTCAAATAGCAAGAAAATTCCTTCTTGTTCTTGTATGGTAAGAATTAGGATGGGCATTTAGACATGCAGGTCTGTAAGATAAACTTAGCTTTACAACTAGCTTTATTAGAAGCTATTTGGATTCAAATAGATACTGAATTATATAATTCTCCATTCATCATAACCTGAGAACAACTTCAGATAAGGAGGCAGCCTCCTTTATTGTTATCACTAGTTTTTGAGGCAACTATGCCTAGTTATTTAGCTACAGTTTGGTGTTCAGAGATTCACTTGATTTCCAAATTAAATGGTCTTAACTTTTTCATTATTGTCAATTTAGTTAGAATCTGTAGGCTATTCCATATGTTTTCCGGTGTTTATCTTAAAGGTATCACTGTTTGGGGCCTGACTTTCTTCTCCCAGCCACCTCGTTTTTTCCTTTTTATCTGATCCTAAGACGAAGGCTAGTAAGTGAAGAATTTATCTCTGTATAAATGAGAATTTAGTGTTGGTTTCTTTTTTCCCTACTGTACATTTAGATGAACTCTTAAATCATGATCTTGGGGAAGTCATAAGACAACACAGTGTGTTCTCTTCCCATTGTTAAGTAATATAATACCACTTCTTTTCTTATTTCCTTTTTTCCTAAAACATGTAACCCATTATCTCATAAAGGTGTGCAGAGAAGATATAAGAAGAGAAACGGTGGGAAAAGGAGGAGAATTTGGCTTCACAGAAGCAGTGAGCATCGGCCTGGAGCCTAGTGACCTTGCCACATGCCCTACTGCGGTGTTCAGAGAGCAGTTACGCTAGAGTTTCCGTATGGACCATTTATCTGCAGATTTGTAATGTAAATGCACAAAAGGCATTTAAATCTCATAAATATCATCTGTTTGGTATAAAATAAATTATTTCATTCTTTCTCTAATAGTTTCAAAAAATAGAAGACTGTTGGATATAAAATATTAATCTCATTTTTATTCCATGCATTTTTTAGTTTTTTATGTTATTTACATACTTGATTTTAAATAATATTTAAATGTTTTAAGGATGAGTAAACTGAGAAGACAAAAATTATTGCTATGATATGCAATTTGTTTTGCTACTTTAACAGTTCCATTTGACAAACCCATCAATTTATGCAAGTGTATGTGACTAATAAGCACTTTATGAATTTAAGCAAAGATTTGTCATAAGTTGCTTATGTGTAACTCATAAAACTGCCAAAAATATTTGTAAAATATTTTATCAAAATATGTTCTTTTCTCTATTATTTTTATTTCCCGCTTTGAAATATATTTCAAATTGCTTGAGTGTTGTGTGTTTGGATCACAAAGTGAACAAAGTAACCTCTTCTACATGGTAGGTAACAATTATTTTTCTAATCATCAGGATTTAGAATTATAAATAGGCCATGGCATAGATTTCATCCACAACTTGTGTAGTAGCTCAGATCCTTAGCATAGCAGAGAACAGAGCTGATTGCCACAGTTTAAGAACTTACCATTTTTAGGAAACCAAAATATGATTTATAGATCTGAGCCTACTGAGTGTTATCATTTTTAATATATTCCAAAGTTCTACAGAGATTTCCCAAATGCTTTTGGAGCAGAGAAAAATCTGATCACTAAAAATGTGATCAAAAAGCTACATCAATAATAAATTTCAATAAAACAAACAAAAAAGAAATTAATATTAAATACTTAAATTGTACTAAAATGTGCTCATGAGAGAGAGCTCACATTATAATTGCTAAAAGAAGGTTCAAGTTATTTAAATCACAAACTCTGCTGACTAAAGAAGAGGAGGCACAATTCTACAATTAACTCCATGAGGTCAGTTTTACTCTCATAGCAAACCAGAGAGAGGCATCATAAAGAAATAAAAGTATATCCCTGAGAATTCAGAAGAAAAATCCTCACTAACTCACTAGAAACTAGACCACCAACATGCAAAACTTACTGTAGATGAAGAGCAAGTGGCATTCATTCTAGAGATGCATACTTTGTTCCAGATATGAAAATCAATCACTGCAATACATCATATTGATATAATTCAGGAAAAAATATGATCTTCTAGGTAAATATAGAAAACACTCAAAAGAAATTCACCACCCTTTCATGATTAAAAAACTAATGCAAGGGAGCCCTCTCAACCTGATAAAGGAACCTACTAAAAGTCAACACTCTACCTATTTATGAAAAAATAGCTGTTGCACTTGTACCCCTTTCAGTCAAATTTATATTAGAGATTCTAGCCAGGATAATTATGCAAATGGAATAAATAAAAAGACACCCAAATTGAAAAAAAAAAAGAAGTATAACTACCTCAGTTTTACAGATGGCATGCTTTTGTGTTCAGAAAATCACAAGGAAGACACAATTAGAATTAATAAATGAGTTCCAGAATGTACAATAAGATCAATAGCCCAAAATCAATCATATTTCTATACACCAGCAAGAAATGACCTGCATTAAAATTAAAATTAATTATATTAGCATCAAAAATAAAATACTTAGGAATAAATTTAATAAAAGAGGCACAAGACTTGCACACTGAAAACTATGAAACATTGTTGAATGAAATGAAAGACTAACTAAATGCAAAGACAGACCATGTTCATGGATCAGTAGTATAACTTCATATTTTTAAGACTGCAATACCATCCAAATGGATATCACGATGCAAAGTATTTCCAATAAAATCCTAGCCCTTTTTTGTAGAAATGAAAAAGCTGATTCTAAATTTATATGAAAATAAAAGAAACTCAGAATAATCCAAGGGATCTTTAAATAAAAGTTGTAAGACTCATATTTCCTATTCACATTGTTTAAGAAAGCTATAGTGATCAAGCAGCACACTAGTGACGTATAGCTACATATGTATAGCAACAGAACAAGTATATTTTAAAGTCCAGAAACAATCCTTTATAGTTGTGCTTAATTGATTTTCAACTCTGTGCTAAGTCAATTCAGTGGGAAAATAATAGTTTTTCACCAAATACTGTAGAAACAATTAGATATCCATTTGCAAATCAATGAAGCTGAACATCTATCTCACAAATAATACAAAAATTAACTCAAGAACATTTATAGACCTATATAAACTCTTAAACCAATAAACTCTTAGGAGAAAATTTAGAAGCAAATGTTCATTTTCATGGTTTGAGCAATCTGTGAAGCCAAAAGCACAAATAGTGATGAAAGAATGAATTTGTAAGATCTCATCAAAAGATTAAGAAGTTTGTGTTTAAGAAGTTTTCATTAAGAAAGTGAAGAGAAAACCTGTGCATTGTGGGAAATATTTACACATCATATATCTGATAAAGGACATTTTCCCAGAATGTATATAGAACTCACATAACAACTAAAAAGAAAAATAATCAATTTGAAAGTGGCTCAAGCACTTAATACATATTTCTCTTAAAAGAGAAACAAATAGAAAAAAGTATGTGAAAAGGTGCTCAATATACTTAGTCATTCAGGAAATGTTAAGGAAAACCTCAAGGAGGTATCACCTCACATCTGAAAGGATCAACGCAGTGAAGGAGACTGTGGACAAGCACTTGTGAGGCTGGGGAAATTGACACTCCCAGACGTTGCAGGCGGGAGTTAAAATGGTGCAGCCATCATGGAGGCAAACATAATTACCCTACACCCCAGCAATCCAATTCTTAGACATTCACGCAAGAGAATCAGAAAACATATTTTCACACGAAATATCCGTGAAGGATAACTGCAGTGTCACATATAAAAGACAAAAAGCAGAAACAACTTAAATGGCATCAACTGGTCAATGCACAAACAAAATGTGCCAGATCCATAAAATCGAGGACTATTGGGCCATAAAAGTGCATGGGTGAGCCTTGAGAACAGGATGCTAGGTGAAGGAAGTCAGAGGCAGATGCGTACACATTGCTCACTCCCCTGCACAGCTCCAGGTTCAGAACACAGGCCAGAGGCTGCTAGCACTGTGGCTGGGAGGCTGAGGAGGCTGCCCGAGGCCACAGGGTTTATTCTGAGCTTAATGGAAACCTGAAATTAGGTCATTTTCTTATCCACCACCACCCTCCCCAAATGGACACCCAAGAAAGTGCACTTGTGGTCCATGAATTATACCCCCAAAAAGCTCTTAATTTTTTTAAAAAAGAGATTAGGATGATGTTACTGAAATGCAGAAATGTTTCTCATTTTACTTTATGTGTAAAGTCTGTAGGATTAGGAAGGGACTGTTGGTTTTTCCAACACCCGTTCAGCACGTCTCTTCATTTATGATCAGTGGGAAACGACACCCTCCGTGAAGGTGCACACACTTGTCAGAAGCTGCACTAACCCAAACAGCCAGGGACCACTGTGATTTCCACCAGCCGCTGCCAGGTGAGTCCATCCCCACAGAAGGAAGGAGCGGCTGAAGGCCAGGACTGCTGGCCCACTATGCTGCGCCAGTGTGGCCCGATGCCTTCTTCAGGCACCTTTAGAACATGGGAGTCCCACTCAGAAGCTTCCTAAGTGTGCCCCTTGACTGGAGCAAGTCCCCTATGAGGCTGAAGGAAAACTCTTGGGAGTGAGAGTAAATGTCTCCCCGTCCGGGGAATCAAGGTGCATTTTTTGACACCTCCTAGGCAGAGAGGTCTTGTCACAGGCACGTCAGGACACAGGGACCCCAGTATTTCCAACGCTGGCTGAGAAGGCAGGCTGCTCACCTGAGCTGCTGCCGAATAAGGAGAGCAGAATGAGACTGGAGACAAGAAGGGCTACTTAGAGAGAGTTCACTGGCCCCTGAACTCAGTTCAGGAACTATGTTTGGAAGCATGTAACCTGTCACACAGGGGTAGTGTTGTCTGTTTAATAATGAAGACCAGCTGTCTTTTCAGCACCAGAAGGCCCTCGGCAGGATGCCACAGGATCGTTCATTATCTGCAGAAATATACATGGATGCCTGTGAGTGTAGGGAAATGGTGATCCTGGAAGTGGCACACTTATGCAGTTCTGTACACTTTTATTGAATGGCTGTATTTGAGGTGGAAACCAGGAATAGAAAATCAGCAATAGCTGGTGCCTGTTCTCAAGGACTCAGAGCCAAGCAGAGCCTAGGTGTGCCAGTGTAAGATGCAGTGTGGCAGGACTATCGCCAAGCAGAGCACACCCAGTCGAGTGAATTAAAGGCAAAAACAATTAGTACTTGCTGGGGCTGCAGCCAGAGATACAGGAGGAAGGAATATTATTGGATATGCACTTCATAAGTGAGCAGACAGGTAAAGGAAGGACATTTCCCTTTTAGAGTAGCCAGGCCACACACTGGGAGGGAGGAGGGGTTTGTGGAAAAACGAGTGTGAGATGTTGGTGGAAGACGGGCTTTGGCAACCCAAAGCCAAGCTACAGAAGCTGACGCTGCACTCAGGATTCTTTTACTTATTGTTTCTGAAAGGGATTAACAGATATCTGTTTCTTAATTATGGAAAGCACCAATGCACAAGAGAAGAGAAAAGGTATAAATTAATCACACAGCTTCAGAGTTGGTCCACTCAGGTTAATCTTGTTTTATCTGCACAGAAAAACACACATGCAAACATTTTCTCCATCTCTGAGATTATTTTGAAGCAAGGGCAGAACATCAATCAACTTTATCCATAAATACTTCATTGTGTAAATCTACAAGGTAAGGACTCTAGAAAAGATAAAAAATTCATTATCTCACTGAAAACAATAAAAGTTAATTTAAGTATTAACACTGTGGCTGGTGTTTGATAGTCTTATAATTTTTAAACTTAGTTGTACAATCAGCAGCATGATCACATGCAGACACTGAAGTTGTTTGTTCCTCTGTTAATCTGCATGGGTCCCCTACATGTTTTCCTTTGGAGTTTTATTTGTTGAAGGATGAAATGGCCCTTTGTCCTACTGATGTGTGGGGAAATTGCTAATTACATTGCTGTAGTTGTCTCTGATACAGTCCTGTCCCTGAACTTCCTATAAAATGATAAATAGCTCTGAAGGCCACTGCAGCCCCTAGACGGGACGCCTTGTCAAAGGTGTGGCTGCCTCCTGCCATCAGGAAGACAGGTCCTTTGGGTTACCTTTTCCTGGTAGGATGGTCTCCACGCACTCAGGGTTGTAACACGATGGCCACCAACCATTATTTATTCATGCTTCATTAATGACCTGGGACACTTATATCACCTTTACCACATTTGGCTTTGGTGGGGTAAAGATTATGTAATATACAGAAGATAAATACTTGCTGTATCGATGATGAT